GTGTGAAGAAGTACTTCCTTTTGTTTCTTTTAAACCTTCTGCCTATTAATTTCATTGGGTGACCCCGGTTCTTGTGTTATATAAAGGAGTAAATAACACTTCCTTATTCACTTTCTCTACACCATTCATGATTTTATAGATCTCTCATATCGCCCCTTATTTGTCTCTTTTCCAAGCTGAAAAGTCCCAGTCTTTGTAATCTCTCCTCATAAAGCTGTTCCATACCCTTAATCATTTTTGTTACCCTTCTCTACCTTTTCCAGTTCTAATAGATTTTTTTGAGATTGGGCGACCAGAACTGCATGCAGTATTCCAGGTGTGGGCATACCAGGGTTTTATATAGTGGCATTATGATATTTACTATCTTATTATCTATCCCTTTTCCAATGGTTCCTAATATTTTGTTAGGAATGCATTAGCAAACAAACAAGAAATAGTTTTATGAATTGTTTGTCAAAGAAAAAGGAAAAACAGGCATATCTCCAATGTGTCTTCGACATTTTGGGATTCAACCCAGACCAGCGAGAGGTTGTGTTACTGCCTGCCCTGTAACCCTGGGTGCCTTAAATGCTCTCCTGCTGTGGCTCACAGCCCAGACACCAAGAGCCAGCAAACAGGTATGCAATTCCTTAAGTGTCTGTGTGCTATGCAGCCCTGGTTTAGCACTCTGACCTCAGCAGCCTGCCTACAGCACAACAGCCCCACCAGCTTTGGCTACTAGTTGCAGGATGATCACAACATGCTTCCAAATTTCCCCCAAACTCTCTGTCCTAAAGTGTCCAGCCTGCTCCTGGAACATTCAGAGACATTATAAAGTTCATTGCTCCCATAAAGAGAGAAAAGCACAGTTTGTTACTTTAACTGGTGCTATCAATCACGTCAGTTCAAATATAGCACTAGGTTGGTTTAGATTAAAAGTAAAACAAGTTTGTTTAATCAAAAAGAGGCTTTAAATGCATTCAAGTATAGAGGTAAAGACAAAAATGGTTATAAGCAGATAAAATTAAAAATACATTTTCTAATGTCTCAGACCTAACTTAACAAGTACAGTCTTTGTTCAGGATTTCTTACCCATGGCTGACTTTCTCTCAGTCAGGACCTTCCACGGAAGTATGAGGTGCTGGTTTCCCTTGTTTTCGTAGGTGAAATATAAATTAGGAGCTCTCTGCTTCTCTCCTTATAATCCAGCAAACCTTTGACAAGTGTCTCTCCTGAAGTTCATTGATCTCTTGCTGTTCTTCCCTTCCTGTGGACTTCCCATCCCTCTGTTGATTTGTATATAAATGGGGCTTCTATTGTTTTGATTCTATAATGCTTACCTTACATTGGAGCCAGGTAGATATCCCTTCTCTCTTGTCTGGGGGAAATCCTGTTTCTCCCTGTGTTTAGACTTTAAAGCATAATATTAGTGAGTATTCATAGTGCCTCAGATAGTGATAGTCATCACCAATGTGTCACAGGGTTTCATAAAATACATCACTCAATACACTTTTATAACAGTAATATTGTATAGAATCAGTTGATTCAATTGCTTATCATTTGAGATTCAGACCCCCGCCAGAGCTCTTTCCCCCACTCACTAAGTTGATGGCTTTGTTTGCTTTTTATGTAAATGTGCCTTTATTGTCTCTGCCTGATGGCCAGGCTGGTCAGACACACAAATACACATTCCATTGTCTAGGGCAGGCTGGGTTTATGCTTTGCTTGCCAAACACATTTTAAGAACATAAATCTAGCACACATCCATAATGCTTTGTACACACCTCATGCAAAAATATTAATGATTAGGATCAGTCAGTTTTTAGTTTTCCAGTGATATTACATGCCACTTCTTGGGTATATATCATGGCAGTGGTGTATTAGGTGTAGTGGGCGTGTCAGGTCTGACAAGAGTTGCTGACACAGAGTAGTTAACTACCAGTGGGCCTCTGCGTCACTGTGCTGCTATTAAAGGGGTATTTTTATTTTGGAGAAACGTATTCTGAGTGAGGCAGAATATTCAGAAAGTGCTGAAACTATTTTTTTTTTTTTTTTTTTTGGAAGGGAAAATAAACTACACCAGCAAATGCTCAGTAGGTAGGGAGGGTGATTGGAGTGGAAGAATAGGAGGGAATGGGGGGAAGGGTTTGGGGGATCAGAGAGAGGATGGGGAGCAGTCGGAGGGGAGCAGTGGGATACTAGAAAGGAGGACATGGGCGTGCGTGACAGGGGCACTGGAGGAAAATAGGGGTGGGACACCTTTCAGCCACACATCCCCCACCGTGTGTGTGCCATAATCTAGGGACTCCCAGCCCATCTACAGGGGTGTGACAATCCGTTCCTCCTGGAAGCCAGGTTCTGAGAGGGCTTGCCTTTTGGGGGGGGAGGGGGGTCTGAACCCGTATCCCCCTTGTGATATGAGATCTGGGGAGGTCCCTTGCCCATTTATGGGGATGTGACCTCCTTCCTTGCCTCCCCGTATAAGCCAGGTTCTGGGGGCGTGCCTTGCCTTTCTGAGGGTGTCTGAGATCTCTCTCCCCCCTCCCATGTGAACAAGGATCTGAGGAAGAGACCCTCGGGGGTGGGGGAGTTTAGCACAGGCATGCTCAGAGCATGCACAAAGAACACATTGCTGGCATTGGGGTTCTATAACTACATTAGGAACAAGAGAAAGACAAAGGGAAGTATAGGCCCACTATTTAGTGGGGAAGTAGAGCTAATGATACAACATCAAGAAGGCTGAGGTGTTTAATGTCTATTTTACTTCAGTCTTCACTAAAAATATTAATGGTGACCATATTCTCAACACAATATTAACAACATGGGGGAAGAAGCATATGGTTGCTGGGTCTCAATCTGTTGATGGCTTTGAAGATCAAGAGCAAGGTCTTAAACTGGCATTGGGAGTCAATGAAAGGATGTGAGCACATGAATAGTGTGCTCGTGGCATCTCCTGTGCATAGGTGGACTGACACACTCTACTCTTTTGCATTCAGCCCCAAATCCAGTAAAAAGATGAAACTGTACAATGAAGATAATTCTAGTAGCAAAACACTGGCCATTTTCAGAGATGGTTACTTTTTGGAAACTTAATGAGGTCTCCTGATGCTGCACAACAATTTAGGATGCCTTTTGCTGGTGGTTTAGCAATTTTAGACCTTGAGGTTAGATTGCCCTTTAGTGAGTCTTCAAGTTGCTGTTTTGTAGTCTGGTTTATTATACACTTCTGGTGAGTTTTCCAAGACACAAGGATCTGACTTCTGTTTCAGGCATGGGGAGAAAACAACTGGATTCTCAGGACTTCAGTGTACCATTCCTTTTCCATTCCCATGTCTTCCTCCTGGCACCCCCCTCCATTCTGAAATCCAGGAACAGGAACTCTTGAAAGTGGCTTGCTTCTGATCCCACTGGGTTAGATTTCCTAGGTCTTCCTATCAACGTCACTGTAAGCAATAGTAAGAGAATGACTTGAATGCACTGTGTGGCAGAAGCTGAGTGCATTTGGCCACCCCCGAAAAGCACTATTAGCCTATTAATACACACTGTGACGTCATGTAATAGTGTTAATTATGACTCCTTAACTTCATATTTTATTTTTAAGAAAACATAAAATTGTGTGTGATGGTATGGGATACATCCTTCCACTGCAATGTAATTTTTCTCGTAGAAAGTCAGTTATAGTTACAAACTGCTGCTGAAAGGGAATATTGGCACTGTACAGGGAGGAGGCATGTTAAAACTTTCTTCCCTCTCCCAAGCTGCCTTTGCAGCTGAAGTCTCTGTATTCTTACATATCACTTAAAAATAGGGAGAAAGGTAAAAAAAAAAAAAAAGGGGGGGGGGGGGCAGGATTTTTGGTGTTGTTTATTGATGAAATCCTATCTGTGAACCACTGGGGATTGATGCCTCAATATGACATCAATAAAGCGCAATTGGCCAATCATCGATCATTGCTATGCTGGCTGACTTTTGGACTGTTCAGGATTTCTGTGTGTATGTGTATTCCCTTCTCATGAATGAGAGGATCTGGTATAACTACTTGATTTTTACCGAGGTAAGGATTGCATAGAATTAAAGGAATTTGATCTTTGTCCGTTGCAGATATGCAAATGACAGTAACTTTTAGAGCTACTGTAGTAAAATAGATTTATGCTGGTGTTAAAAGACTGCCTTTAAAGTGAAAGGAGTAGGGATTTTTAGGCCCTGTTTTTGTCAGGGCTCATGATAGACCTGTCTGCCTTTTGAGCAAAGAGGGAAAACCGATTTGGTAAATGAAATTGGTTGTGCTGTGACTTGGATAATAGTCTATTGCAAGTATTAGAGAGAGAAGGTAAGGTGGGTGAGATAATATCTTTTATTGTACCAACTTCTGTTGGTGAAAGAGACAAGCTTTTGAACGACACAGAGCTTTTCTTTAGGTCATATTGCAAATATTGTAAGGTTGCCCTTTGATTATAAGTAAGGCTACGTTTTAGTCGTGTATTTTTAGTAAAAGTCACGGACAGGTCCCGGGCAGTAAACAAAAATTCATGGCCCATAACTTTTACTAAAATTACCAGTGAATAAAACTTGGAGGGAGCTACCCGGGGCCCCCACAGGTGCTGGGGCGGGGGTGGGGGAGCGCAGGCAGTGGTGCGCAGCTCGGGACCCCCGCTGGTGCTGGGAGGGTGCTGGGGGGGCTGGCAGGCTCCCTACCTGGCTCCCCCCCAGCAGCAGCAGAGTTTGGGGGTGGGAGGGGGCAGGGGGCTGGGGTACGGGATGGGGTGAGGCGGGCTCTGGGTGGTGCTTACGTGGGGGGCTCCCCGGAAGCGGCGACATCCCCCTCGCTCAGATGCTAAGCTGAGGCATGGCCAGGCAGTTCTGTGCGCTGCCTCTGCCTGTAGACACCGCTCCCACAGCTCCCATTGGCCGCGGTTCCAGGAAATCGCCCTAACTTACTAAGACAGAGGACTAAAGTGGTTGGAATGGCAGTAATGTGAAAATGTCTGTAGTTTGATTTGTGTTTTCTGTTTTATTAACAGGACTGCGGTGGGTAATACTCCTGATCTGAATTGATGGATCCAACAGAAGCTAAATGAACATGTAAGAATTTTTTTGTATGGTCTTTGTATTGTGCATAATTTTGGGTTTATTTGATAAAGATATAGTTGATTTTGGTGGGAGAGAGGGAAGGGAAGACCCTCTTCTTAAAGACTCTGCTCCTGAAATCATGGGGGTTACATGAGAATCTCAGCTTTCATTGAAAGTGTCTAGTCCTTGTGGTTTCAAAGAGATGCGGGAAACATGAACCTTAATAACTTAATAAACAGCAGATAAAAAAGAACCAGTTCTTTTAAATCTCTTGACCTTTTGGGGCCTGGCTCTTGACTTTTGTACATCTGGGGTTGGCACTACTGCACTCATTTTCTCTCTTTCTTTATAACATTGTCTCTACCATTACTCCTTTACACATACGTTTTCTAATGGATACATTTGCATCAGTTGGAATGTGTTAATTTGCTGCAGCTATTGAGTAGTAATTCTATACCTTTTTATCCTGGTGAACTTATACCTGTGAAGCATTCTCCCAGTAATATGTCCTTTTTCCCCAACGTTGGGCCTGTCATTATATGGTTGCACCACAATGACCTAGAGCTAGGGCAAAGTTAAAAAGGTGTAGGGAGCTGTGAATGAGGCACTCGTACCCTGTTCTTTGAATTTCCTGAATAATTTTGGGTTTAAATCTCAACCATGACACTATGCTATGCTTCCTTTCTTTCTTTTTTAAAATAAAACTTCAGTCTGTAAAACTTCGATTTTTTTTAACGCTTGCCATGCAAGGATCTCAAAGCACTTTGTAAATACTAGTGATTTAATTGAGTCTCACAAAACCCCGGTGCAGTGGTGGTATTTATCATTTTATTTATTATCCCCATTTTATACATCAGGAAACAGAGGGTATCATCCAAATTGTTCGTTAGAGAGGTAGGTGTGCCTCCCTGTGGAGTGGAAAGTTGGTCTGTTCCCCTTAGGGTGACCAGATGTCCCGATTTTTATAGGGACAGTCCTGATATTTGGGGCTTTTTTTTATATTACCCCCCCATCCTCTGTCCCGATTTTTCACACTTGCTATCTGGTCACACTAGTTCCCCTAAAGCTGCAGATATCCATGGATCTGTGTGGCTCTCAGCACAGCTGTGAGAGGTAAAGACCATGCTTGTGGGGACCTTATGCCACTGTCCTGGTTTCTAGATCCAGGGCAGCATGGCATCTGTGGATCTAATGCTGCTTTCCCTTTCTCCTGGAAGACCGAGCCAGCTTTATCTTATGAGTACAAGTTCTTTTGGTTTCCAGGCCAGTGCTGTGGTCAGTGGCCAGGCCAATAGATTTGTTCCATTCATCATATTTGGGATCTCTCCCACCCTATTTTTTCCTTCCAACTGTTATTTCAAATTTTAAAAATACAAAATTAGGCAAAGACTTGAACTGATTGCCACGTGATGGGACTTTTCTTTAAACTTCAAACCTATACAAATTTTCCTCATCAGGTTGATATTCCTCCTTTGCTCCTATATCACGTATACTAATTTCAGAGCTTGGAAGACATTTATTTTTCTGTTAGGTAATAAACCCACAGAGATGAGTCTATGATGAAACTGTACTTAACCAAGTAGTGACTCTTCTATAAATAAAATTATGCTGCTTGGTTATAAAATTCCTTACTACTTAAGAGAAACGGTCTTACTGTTTCTCTAATGATGTACACCACTATAAAAAACAATTGGATTAGTTTTGCTGCATCGTGATTCTTTATCCTCTTTATGGGATGCTTGGTGACTTAATTTGTAGTTTAAGGTTATCTAAATACCGTGCACCAAAAATGGTCTTGTCTGGCTATCTGTATTTAAATATTGGTTCTATTTATTGTGCTGTAATCACTGGGCTTCATAGATTTGTTTGTATATAGAAAGTTTATATGGCTTGAGGCCAGGGGCATCTCTTGTATGCCTGATTGTATCTAACACAGCTAGAAGATTATATTGTTAATCTAAAATGTTCTTGCTATTTTAGGAGATGCCTATGTAGGGGATTTTACCAGCAATTGTACTAAATGCTTTACTGCTGAACCAGTTGCTCAGGTACTTTGGCTGTCTGTTGCTATGGGAGATTGGAAGACTATTACAGTGCCAGCACTGTCATCAGGTAACTATTATAGTTAGAAGACAAAACTGGGAACAATTTTAATTTAGGAGGTTGGAGAATCACTAGTGGTACAATACTTTACAGGCTGCTAAACAGTTAAATTGGAGTTTCATTCATAACATATCTAATTCCTTAAGTGGAAATGTTAAATGATATAATTGTGTTTATACTACAATTTCTACTGGTTACGGTAGTTTTACAGAATTGTTATCACTAAAAATCACTCTACCATATGTGAGAGAATTCTAAACATTCATGTTTTTTACAGTCAGTGAATGTCTCACATTGCTGTAACATTCCTTTTGTTTTCTGTTTCTCTTTTGTCCTGTGTTTTGATTAACAGTGTATTAAAGGCAAGACATTTTTTTTTAATGTATGCGGGGTGGTGAGGGAGTAGGTTAAAATGTACAATGAAACTTAATATGTAAGAATCCTCAGTACATTTCTTGGGCATGTATGCGAAATAGTAATCCAAGTAAGCAAATGAACTAGTAATTAGAATGATTTTTATGAGAATCTTTTTTGGGGAGGGGAGAGGAATTTTTTCATGAAAATGCCTTATTTAAAATCTTGTTGATGCTTTACTTTTTGGTAGAAACTCAAATTAGTAGCATTTTGTTTATAGTATTTCCCCCCCCCAAACTCTTAATAGTTCTTAATGTCATTTCTAAAGTTGCTAAACAATGATGAGTAATCCTGTTTTAGTCTCTTGAATTGATTTAAATAATTAGTCCTAAACTTGTTTCATAATATTTTGAATTGTAGCTAGCAAAATCCCTTATCAGAATACCTCAGAAAAAAAGAACAGGAGTACTTGTGGCACCTCAGAAAAAAAGATGTCCCCTTCAAGTTTAAACATGCAACAAGTGCTATGCTCGCCACTGCCTTTGTCCAAAAGTACGCACAGCTTTTTCAGTGCCTTCTGCACAGAAGGGAATGTTGAACAGAGCATCTCCTATCTTAACAGGGTAAGCCGTGTTCTCAAGTGGGGTCATTTAATATAACTGTCAATCAGTTGTGGAAAGGAGTGTGAGTGGTCTTTGGGGTGAGAGAGTTTATTCCCATGAAGTAGCTTTTCTTTGGTTACTAATTGAAAGCCAAGGAGGTTTTTTTTCCTTGCAAAAATGAATGTCTTCTAGTATGCTGTGTGAGAATTTTGTCAAGGATAGAAAGAAATTGGTCCAATTATTGCTCTCTCTGTCCCTTACTAGGAGTTGACAACATTAGGTTTCCCTTCTCTTTATTCGGAGTGCAAAGATAAAGAATTAAATGTAGTATCGGTCTTAAATTGTATGAATGAACTGCTTGTACTCCAACGCAAGAACCTCCGAGCTCAGGAAGAGGTGGAAATCCAGCATCTGAAACTGGGTAGTGATATGGACCACCTGCAGAACTGCTATGCTAAAGTAAAGGTAGAAAATCAATTCTCTCTAACTCATATCATAATGCAATGTGGCACTTTCAGCTAACAGATGTTATAAATTCTCAGTAAGGTTATTTTGCTGATTTATTAAGACTTAATTGTCCTACAAGTTTTTTTCTGAGGTGTGTTTTCTAACTGATGGAAAACTCATTAAATGTAATGAAAAAGGAGTGGAAGAAATAGCTCTCTAATAAAGACATGAATACGCCGTGAACAGTTTAGCGACCAGCTGTTCCTGAGGAAGATTGATTAGATTAGAGGGTGGTAATTCATTATGGAAATGAAGATCTTGGAAGATTTGGCTGGTTTATCTTTAAATGGGATATTGTGAGTGTTGCTAGATTTTTCAACCCTAGAAAATAAATTACTTCATGTAGCCTCAAGAAGTATAGCAAGCTTACTCATGTTGCTGTTCTAACATGCCTCATCCTGATTCCAAAGGGCCATCTCCAAAGGCTAGCGTATAGCTCATTCTCCATATCCATTCAGGTTTTGGCTTCCCTGAGAGACCTGAGGACAACTGTCCTGTCACAATGTCTATTCAAAAGCAGTCAGCAACACTTTTGGTTACTGGTTTGAATTTAGACCAAATTGGTAGATGAGGCTCCATAATCTGTTACAATCCAGCCTCTCCCAAAATTTTAGGCTAAACTGTAAATGACAGTCAGTTATTGCTAGTGACTTAGATGGCATGAACTGAATGGAAAAATTGTATTTGAAAGTAAGTATAGTTGCTTTATTAGCAGATTCTGAGTTGTGTCTCAGCTCTAAAATAAGCTTCTTTTCCATGGTAACATTTTAGCAAGGCAGCTTTTGCTTTCAGTGCTTTACTTAGTCCCCATAGTTCTACTTTGCAAGAAGATTGACTACCCCCTACCACTTCTGCTATTATTTGTATCGCAATAGCACCCAGAGGTCACAGTTTGAATCAGAATACCATTTTTCTAGACACTGTGCATGAACCCATAGGAAGACAACAGTTCTATCCTGAGGAGTATATAATCTGCATGGAAACAACTCTAGCATGTAACATTAAAACGCTATTGTACAGCTGCACTCCTGCTTTTAAAAAACGTAACTTATGTATTATATTAATCCCCCAGCAAAGTCAGCCAAACTACTTACCCCATGTGCAGGTGTGTTCAAGGAGAGAAACTGCATCTTACTTCCACAGTACTTTTGTGTTGAAGCAACCCTAATTTGGCCCATAATATGTAACTTTTTTGTGTACCTTCCTGCCTCCTCCAAAAGCGGTAATGATCATTTTAGCAGAAACATCCAGCTAATGTACTTATCCAAGCCAACAATAGCTCCAACTGCCAAAACATCTAGCTTCTCCTCTGACTTCTATGGAGAAGGCATGCATTGCAGCATATTGAATACTTAATAATTTAATGGCAGTGAAAGAGTAATTGCATTCAGTATCAAACTAAAAGTAGTAATGCTGTGTTGCTTATATTCTTTTCCATATTTAACTCAGTAAAAATCCCCATGAAGTGGAGTGCTACAGAACTAGCAATCTGCTGCACTGGGGTAACCATATTATCCAGGCCTCTTGCTGTAGACATGAAGGTTAATTTGCCATGAAGGGGCCTTGCCTGTGTATTGGACTTCTGATATTTCAGCAAGAACAAACTTGTCTCAAATTTAATTTTTTTCTTTTGTAAATTTTAATTGAGATTGAATTATGGGTCCTTTTTTTAGGAGCAACTGGAAACTTCTAGAAGGGAAATAGTGGGACTTAAAGAAAGAGACAGACAACAGCAATGTAAGAACAGAAATCTGCACCAGTTACTTAAAAATGAAAAAGATGAGGTGAGTCAGCCTGTACATCTACACAAATCATTCAGAAAACCTCAGGTTTTAGTAGAGTTTTATTTTAAAAGAATACATAGGCTTGCATAGAGAAAGTTAGCAAATTTCATGTGTGGTCACTGTGAAGTTTGGCATACTAGTTGCTAATGCAGGGGTTCTCAAACTGGGGGTCGGGACCCCTCAGGGAGTCATGGGGTTATTATGGTAGGGGTCACAAGTTGTCAGCCTCCACCCCAAACCTCGCTTCATCTCCAGCATTTATAACAGTGTTAAATATAAAAAAAAAAGTGTTTTTTTTTAATTTATAAGGGGGGGTACTCAGAGGCGTGCTGTGTGAAAGGGGTCACCAATACAAAAGTTTGAGAACCACGGTGATAATTGGATGCAATTCATGTGCAAATGGGGTCGACGGGTTCAAATGATAAAAATGGTGGTGGTCTCATTGCATAAGTACACGTGCAGACCTGTGATGCCTTTTTTAATGTATCATTCTGAGATAAGTCAGCTAAAGCCTGGCTGCTAGGCTCCGAGACCCAGCTATTTGCCAAAGCCTTTCTAGTAATGTATAACAAAACCAAAGTAAAACTTCAGATATGTGTAGGAGAGCAAACAAACAAAAAATGCAGCCAAAACTTGGAATCTCTCCTTGAACCTGGAAGAGGGAAAGGCTAAAATCCACTTGGAAGTTTACTGTAAACAATACTTTGCCTAAATTAACTGTATGGTGCTTAGGGAAAACCTGAGCGGGAGTTCTGTGTGCACACACATGTAAATACTTTTATTGTTGTTTGGATTACAACGATGCCTAGGCGCACTAGTCATGGACCTGGATATTTACACAATTAGCTTTTCCATAGTGCCTATCCCAGTGATGTCCATATGTAATTAGCATCTTAATGTTCAGCAAAAAATATTGGACAGACACTGAAAGTTACTACGCCTTAAAATTTATATTTTATATAAATATTTATACCAAGCTCTTTTATTTTTGTTTTTATGTTTAAAGAAATGTATGTGCATGAACTTTAGTTGAAAATTTATGGGGTTTTGGTTTTTTTTAGGTACAAAAATTACAAAATATTATTGCGAGTCGTGCTACTCAGTACCATCATGATATGAAGAGGAAAGAAAGAGAATACAACAAACTAAAAGAGCGCTTACATCAACTAGTCATGAACAAAAAGGATAAAAAAATAGGTAAGTAAAGTCTTCCACATTGTAGTGATACAGTAAAGCTGCATGTTCAAGATATTTACTTCAGCTTCTAGCATTAACAATGTGCCAAGCTCCTGACTTAGAATGCACTTTGGTATCCAAAATAGTAGGTCACAAAGAAGGTTTGCATAAAATATGTAGCATTTAATTAAACTTAACTGTTCATAGACTTAAAGAAAACTGATCTTCTATTTTTGCTAGTGTAAGAGTGCCCTATAAGAGTTTTTGAGTATCTCCCCTTGTTTTGATAGGCACAAACCAAAGAAGGCCAGTTGGCTGCCTGATGAGAATCATGATCAGTTCCTAAATTAAAACATTTTCACCCTTATAATTTCTATCTTTGCTAGTACCACTTCAGCTCTGATGGTGGTAGGAACAACTCTGAGTGCTAATGTAGACTGGGCTGTAAAGAGCACTTTAAGTACTATATTTGTATCCACCAGCTATGAGCAGGTTTAATCAAAACTGCTTAAAATTTTGGCAACCACCTGGAGGCCTGGAACTGCACTAATGTTAGCGAAGGTGGGAGATTCTAGACAGGAAATAAAACTAGTGTAGGCACAACCTATGGAGGGGAAGGGGGAAGCAGCTCTGTGTCACCTCATTGCAACTTTTATTAAAAAATCTTAGGCTGCTCTGCTACTTCTTAATAAGACATAAAACAAATAACGATCATTATGCTGCTCTGTCACATAGTGAGAGTGTTTCTTCCAAGACAGATGTCTTCAGCATGTGACTACAAAAGCTCCTTGCACAGCATAATTTATGCAGTGCATTGGGCATGAGATATTAGTACTGCTCTTTTAGTGTTGCAAAACTACTCGTAATGAGTATGTGGGAGTGAGGGCAGTGAAGTGTCCAACACTGCCTGGTTTATCCTGTCTAAAAGAGAGACCATCATATTAGAAACTCTACAATCTTTTTCATTTATTAATTTTAGATGTTACATATAACTCTACCATTAAAATTTCTTCTCTTCCTTCCATTATCTCCCTTTCTTGTTTTGTTTTCAGGAAATTTTGGTCTCATGTGAGTCCAAAGATTGATTTTTATATTCAGTCCTGTAAGGCTTCTTAATGTAAAGGAAAATGTAGGATTGCCTGAATATTTAGATATACTTTTGGGATTTTTACTTCACTCTGAAATGTCTTTAATTTCCCTTCTCATTTGTAGCTATGGATGTTCTAAATTACGTAGGTAGAGTTGATGGGAAGAGAGGTGCTTGGAGAACTGGTAAAACAGAAGCCAGGTAAGTTGATACACTTTGATTAAAGTATATATTTATTTAAGTATTTTGTAATTATTTATTTATTGTAAGGCTTCTGCTTTCAGGAATGAAGAAGAAATGTACAAAGTTCTGTTAGGTGGCTATGAACAACGTCAAAAACAGCTTCTAGTGGAAAATGCTGAGCTCAAGAAAGTTCTTCAGCAAATGAAGAAAGAGATGATTTCACTTCTCCCACCACAGAAACAGAAACCTAAGGAAAGAGCTGAAGATGGCATTGGGCTGGTAAGTGTTTTTATTTTTGTTTTTAAAAAAAACCCTACTATATATTGAACTAGTACTATGCACAGTCATTGGGTCATTCAAAAATATTACCCTAGCTTCTTAAAACTTTCCATCTGCACTAGTTACTGTCTCATGAGGAGCCCACTGTTCAAATGGACTTAAGTAGGCTGTCCGAATCCTGCATTTTGCTCATATCAATATTTGGGTATGGAAAATGGACTTAGGTGCTGATTTTCAATGTCCTAGTGTGATTGGACAACCTCTTAAGGTGCTTATGTTGGAAAATTGTACTTCCAGTATGTACTGTATCTAGAAAAATATGGTGATTATAAGTAGGGTGGGCTCTAAGACCGACAGGCTAGATAAATCAATGTTTCTACTAAAAATCTGCAGCTGCTATCAGGAAAACTTTTATCGCTAAATAGAATGGTTTTCAGTTCTGCTAGTAATTCCCTTCCATTGTTAACACTGGGGCCATCACACATTGCTTTATTGCTTGTAGATGTTGTGGCAGAAGTGGGTATGAAAACGTATGTAATCATAAAGGAATCTTTTAAATGTGCTTTAGAATCAAAACCGTTGTGGATGAGATGTCTAACAGAGCTGCTTGATTAAGTGATGTTTTGGGGGATTCAGTAGTTTTAGGCATCTTACTGTAATTGAAATATTACATTGGGCTCGGCCGCCTTGCCACAGGGTATGAGTAATACCTTAACTTCACTGAGAATTACTCGTATATCCTGCAGCAGGCAAAACAGGCCCACGGTATGTTTAGTGCTCTAATTAGTATGTCAAGTGTCTGACTCCTTCTTTAGGAAAGAATCTTACTGTAGGTTGAAATTCCACTTTATAATGTAGTACTGCAACTCAGTATTGTGGAACTGTTCCACTGCTAAGGCCCCATTTATACACAGGATGCATGTTACATACTGTGACTACAGTCCTGTAAATGGATATGCACAGGTGGACTCCCGTGCCGGCTGGGACCCAGGGAAGACAGTGGGGTTCGGCCCAAACTCTATGGGCCACCCATGCAGATCCAGCTTCAGCACTGAGGCATATGTGTGCTTGCGTACCAAGACAAACTGGAGGAATAACAGGACTTTATGCTTTGCAATGAAATGTTCTTAGGTGACTGAATCAAATTTCTACAGTTCTTTGTTGATCTCTTGGGGTATAACTTTTTTTATAGCAGACTTAAAAAAAACCCAAAACACATAAGCCTCATTTAATTTCTTGGAGGGGCATTCAGCTACTTTGTAAAATGAATAACCAGCAGAGTCTAAGTAGTGACTGCTAAGTACTTATGGGTAGAGCTCTGTGCGGATACAAAATTTGTATCTGCATCTGATCTGCGATCCGCAAAAATGATCTGTGGATGAGGATATCTGTGGATACAGAGCGGATATCTGTGGATTTGCAGGTCTCTACTTATGGGGCATATGCATTAGCTGCTCTCCAAATGCAAATATTTCAGCAATTTTTTTACTTCCGTATATTCTAAAAATCTAGTTGGTCTAATGGATTAACTATTTGCAAATACTCACAGTCAAAAGCAGCCCTGGGTTCATTTTTGACATAGGTTATAGGCACAAAGTATTAACTATTTTTTTTATTTGTCTAGAAAACTCATATGAATATTAAAAAGTTGATAAAATCATTAACTTTATGGGGGGGAAATAAATGTGTCTCTATACTGGGCAAAGCTAACTTGTGCTCCTAAGCAAAGACCTCTTAATGTAAAATACACTCATTCCGGGGTGAAATTTTGGTAAACCTCTAAAAATGGAATTATAATCATCTCCTGGTAGACTTCCAACTAAAGCAGTGCTAGTTATTGATACTTATGTACAGTAATCCAATGATCAGAAAGTTACTTAAATTATATATGTAAAAAAGGAAAACATAACTATTTGAACGAGGAGTACTTGTGGCACCTTAGAGACTAACAAATTATTTGTGCATCCGATGAAGTGGGTTTTAGCCCATGAAAGCTTATGCCCAAATAAATTTGTTAGTCTCTAAGGTGCTACAAGTACTCTTTGTTCTTTTTGCTGATACAGACTAACACACTACCCCTCTGAAACCGATAACTATTTGAGGTTCTTTGTTTTGTTTTTAAAGCAGTTATTACTGATTCAAAACAAGCGTGCCTAAATGAACTTCGGTTTAAAACAAAAAACCCTGAACATCTTTTGCTGCCCCAATGTTCACACCGGTGGCTTGGCTTCTTGTTACTTAGCAACGTTATACTGAGTCATGTGCGGTTATTGGCCTGGAATGCAGAGCTTTGGACTAGGGTACTATTGATATTAATATTTATTACTACAGTAGCAGCCAGAGGCCCAGTCAGGATTGGGCCCTTATTGTGCTAGGCACTATACACATAGGTACCTCAAGAAAAATTGTCTTTATGGAATTAGATAGAATGTTAAATTTCTCTCTATTCCCTCCTTTGCTGATACTGCAGTTTCCAAAATCCCCAGAAACACTAAATTTCATTTAGTGAGTAAATGTTGCAGCATATGTAGGGGAACCGTTTTTTCCACCCTTGAACACGTCAATTTTATCTGTCTGAATTAATTTAGGATCCAATCTTTTCTGTCTGCTTCTGAGTAGGGAGGATTTACATTGGGAGCATCAGGCCTAGAGATGCTAAAGAGAAGTGGGACAAGGGAATTCTGGCTCCACAGCATTGTTCACTGTACTTCACCCCCTCTTCTCACTCATCTTGCCTTTGCCCCCACCAGTGCACTATGAATAAGAAGGAGGCAGAACCAGTTACTTGCTCTCTACAGGATAATTCTTTTCCTCTGTCTAGATGAGTAATCCCCACATATAAGATTATACAAACCCCACCCCTATGTTCTTAAAACATGTCACATGCTGCATAGTGAGCTCCTCACTCCTGGAATTGGTGCTTCAAGGGCAGCCGCCAGGCAGAAGATTTAGCAGCATGACTCCTCGTAACCTTAAATTTTTATATAGAATATCAGGAATGGAAGGGATTTCAGGAGGTCCTCTAGTCCAACCCCCTGCTCAAAGCAGAACGAATTCCCAGACAGATTTTTGCCCGAGATCCCTAAATGGCCCCCTCAAGGATTGAACTCTCACAACCCTGGGTTTAGCAGGCCAATGCTCAAACCACTGAGCTATCCACTTCAGGAAGGGGTAGGTGTGTTTGTGTCATCAGTATCTTGCTGGCTGATATTCATTCTGCATATTGAGGGACAAGGGCAGCTAGGAAGTAATGTGGAAGGTCTGCCTTGCATAACCCCTGCAATCCATGCATTTAGAGAGTCAAACTCCCTGCCAGGTCCAAACTGGGTAAATGGAAACTTGCAGAATTTCCTGTTCCCTCAGACAGTTAATAAGCCCCATAGAAAAATATAGAGGACTGCTTCAGCAGACTCTTGTTTTTGCTTTTACAGGTACTGTCGGACATGGAGGAAGATGCTGTAGAATTAAATAAAGAGAATATGTGGGAACTTTCTTGTGAAACTGTGCGAGAACAGCTTACCAACAGCATTAGAAAGCAGTGGAGAATGCTGAAAAATCATGTTGAAAAACTGGATAACCAAGGTGAGTGTCATCATAAGCCTGTATTCTGCATCATCGTGATGTTTGTGGCAACTCCATTTCCATAGTGTTATTTGTTATACTCTGACCCATTTGACATAACAATACCCAAGCTAGAAAGTTTTTAAAAGAACATTAAAAAAAATTATGACACAGTAGGTTGCCTCAAGTGCCATGCAACAGAAATAGAAATACGAAAGATTTAATCACAGGAGGGCTGAGAAACTGTCATGTAGCAACACTGTTATCCCTGACTGAGGTTATCATTTGTTGAAGGAAGATATCTCTCATTGTTGGTTTGAGCAGAAAGATGGCCTGTGTTAAATTTGACTTCTGTTGTCTGTCATCCTGGCTATTTGTGTTACCAGTGTAGTGAAAATAAAAGAACTTGAAATAATTAAGCACAAAAAGTATCTAAATCATTTTCAAAGTTTTTGGGCTTCACATGGCTTTCTAGGGAGAACTGGCTGGTGGCATAGTACTAGTTTCTATTAATTTCTAGCTGCTAAATAGCATTAGAAACAGCTAAAATACATAAATATTTTTACTTTTTCATTAGCTATCAGAGGGATGTTATGCAATCATGAACAAGCAGGGAGGTCACCCACGAAACTGTGAATGGGAGGCAGATAGTCAATGAAAAAATGCCTTTATTAAAATTTGTCCACACTATGATAGTGTTTGAGAATGCTTGCTCTGAAGAATATTGATTTGGTAGGTTTGGGAGTAGAGGAGAAACTGGTTGAGAGACAGCTATATGGAGTAAAAATGTCATTTTGCACATTTGCAGTGTTTCTGTCATCGCTTTTTGGTTTTGTATGTGTGTACCAATGTCCAAATTCTTCCCATTAAAGTCATTAGTTCTGCCACTGACTTCAGTGGGATCAAGATTTGGCTCATAATGCAACCATCCAGATATACAAATGGCTATGTCTGCACATTGAAATTAAAGTAACAAAACATGTAATAATTAAAAAATATTGTGTGTGTGCAAGGGGGCGGTTGTTGTAGGAAATAAAACATCTTTCTCCAATCCTCCCCCTTCCTGGGGTAAATGTTTGGAAGGTTATAACGATAATATTGTATTAATTTTTTTCATTTGATCCATGTTTCCTTCATAAAGCTCATAGAATACATGGAGCCCTTACTTTTCCACTGAAAAATAGGTCTATATTACAGTAACTCCGCTCTAGGTTTTTATAATGAAATTAATAACTCCAAAAATATAGTGGATTCTGAAGAACTGGATAACTTTCAGTTAAAAGGTTTCTTCGGTTTACTTGATTCAGTATAAATGTAGAAACTGGCGTGTGTGTGTGTGCGTGTGTGTGAGAGAGAGAGAGAGAGAGAGAGAGAGAGAGATGTTTGGAAATCAGATTTTCTTGAGTGGAATGTGCCATGGAGGAAAAAGGCAAATGTTTTTCAATTACAATGTTATTCCTGCCTTGAAAAGGTCTAAAACCTTATCTTTCAGGTTGAGTCACTATAATATTTTTTTTCTTATTTTGAGACTCTGATCTAAGTATTATATTATAAAAATGCTCTACATTTGGATCACTTCGTAGTTAGGTATCGGAGGGGTAGCTGTGTTAGTCTGAATCCACAAAAACAATGAGGAGTCTGGTGGCACTTTAAAGACTAACAGATTTATTTGGGCATAAGCTTTCGTGGGTAAAAAAACCCACTTCTTCAGATGCATGGAGTGAAAATTACAGATGCAGGCATAAATATACTGGCACATGAAGAGAAGGGAATTACCTTACAAGTGGAGAACCAGTGCTGACAAGGCCAATTCAGTCAAGGTGGATGTGGTCCACTCCCACATTGAGGAGGTGACAATACCAAGAGAGGGAAAATTGCTTTTGTAGTGAGCCAGCCACTCCCAGTCCCTATTCAAGCCCAAATTAATGATGTTAAGTTTGCAAATGAATTGTAGCTCTGCAGTTTCTCTTTGAAGTCTTTTTTTGAAGTTTTTTTGTTGAAGGATGGCTACTTTTAAACAGGATGGATTTGATTTAAATCAAATTGATTTAAATCACTAGTCAGGAAGACTCGATTTAATCATGGATTCCTACATAAAAGTGCATTCTTGTTGGTTGTTATAACCTTAATACATATTCTTCACAGGTAGAAGAACTTCATATAAAATATTCCCAAACTGGGTCTCTTTTATGGCCTGCTGCCATTATAGGTTTTCCCTTCTAGTGAGAGAATGGTATGATAGATCTCAAATCAGTGAAGGCTACACTCAGAAAGACTTCTGGAATATGCTGTTCAAACAATTTCACTTTTGTTTCTACTGCCTGTCCCTCCCTTCTCAAATTTATCTCCAGACTTCTTCTCCTTGTCCAGATCTATTCCACCCCCAACAAACTTCTATTCATTGAACTTTTTGAAACTTTGCACTTTGAGAGAGGTAGGGGATTGACCCTGTGTACACAAATTTGCAGAGGGACAATAGGGTTGAGGTCTGTTATTTCTCACCTCTGTATTTTATTTTATTTTATTTATTTATTTAAAAACATTTTTTGCTGTTAACAAGCATGTTATCTCTGGAGACACAAATCCACAGTTTGAGAACTGCAAAACTAAGCATCTCTGATGTTATCTTCTAGATTGAGCACTGAGTCCTATTGGGTAGATAGAAAGATTAACCTAAATAATCTATACAGAATCCCCTGGAAACATAAGATGGGGTCCCTAATCCATGAACAATTGAAACTCATTTACAAAACTTTTCTTAAACATTACAGAATATATTGTGTCATACTATAGAATTAGAATTTATAATCCCTATTCCATGATGAGATATTTTTGATCTATAATGTATCTTAATTAAAACTATCTTTAGATAGGTTTTTTCCTCAAAAAGCATTTTATCAAAAACATCTGATTTAAATTTAAAAAATCTGATTTTTTTTTTACTTAAAAAAAACATTGATTTTTATCCGCCCTGCTTTTAAATCTGTTATTGACTGTCCAGGGAGATTGAAGTGTCTCTTACTGGCTTTTGTATGTTACCATTCCTGATGTCTGATTTGTGTCCATTTATTCTTTTACATAGAGACTGTCTGGTTTGGCCAATGTACATGGCAGAGGGCATTGCTGGCACATGATGGCATATAACACGTTAGTAGATGTACAGGTGAATGAGCCCCTGATGCTGTGGCTGATGTGGTTGGGTCCTCTGATGGTGTCGCTAGAGTAGATATGGGGACAGAGTAGGCAACGGGGTTTGTTACAGGGATTGGTTCCTGGATTAGTGTTTCTGTGGTGTGGTGTGCAGTTGCTGGTGGGTATTTGATTCAAGCTGGGGGGGCTGTCTGTAAGCGAGGACTGGCCTGCCTCCCAAGATCTGTGAGAGTGAGGGATCGTTTTCCAGGATAGGCTGTAGATCTTTGATGATGTGCTGCAGAGGTTTTAGCTGGGGGCTGTATGTGATGGCCAGGGGTGTTCTGTTATTTTCCTTGTTGGGCCTGTCCTATAGTAGGTGACTTCTGGGTACTCTTCTGGCTCTGTCAATCTGTTTTTTCACTTCAGCAGGTGGGTATTGTAGTTTTAAGAATGCTTGATAGAGATCTTGTAGGTGTTTGTCTCTGTCTGAGGGATTGGAGCAAATGCGGTTGTATCTTAGGGCTTGGCTGTAGACAATGGATCGTGTGATGTGTCCTGGATGGAAGCTGGAGGCATGTAGGTAAGTATAGCGGTCAATAGGTTTCCGGTATAGGGTGGTGGTTGTGACCATCACTTCTTTGCACGGTAGAGTCCAGGAAGTGGATCTCTTGTGTGGACTTGTCCAGGCTGAGGTTGATGGTGGGGTGGAAATTGTTGAAATCCAGGTGGCATTCTTCAAGGGCCTCCTTCCCATGGGTCCATATGATGAAGATGTCATCAATGTAGCGCAAGTAGAGGAGGGGCGCTAAGGGACGAAAGCTGAGGAAGCATTGTTCTAAGTCAGCCATAAAAATGTTGGCATACTGTGGGGCCATGCAGGTACCCATAGCAGTACCGCTGACTTGAAGGTATAAGTTGTCCCCAAATCTGAAAAGGTTGTGGGTGAGGACAGTCACAAAGCTCAGCCACCAGGTGTGCCATGGACTCATCAGGGATACTGTTCCTGACAGCTTGTAGTCCATCCTCATGTGGAATATTGGTGTAAAGAGCTTCTGCATCCATGGTGGCCCGGATGGTGTTTTCAGGAAGATCACCAATGCATTGTAGTTTCCTCAGGAAGTCGGTGGTGTCTCGAAGATAGCTAGGAGTGCTGGTAGCGTAGGGTCTGAGGAGAGAGTCCAAATAGCCAGATAATCCTGCTGTAAGAGTGCCAATGCCTGAGATGATGGGGCGTCCAGGATTTCCAGGTTTATGGCTCTTGGGTAGCAGATAGAATACCCCTGGTCGGGGCTCTAGGGGTGTGTCTGTGTAGATTTGTTCCTGTGCTATAGCAGGGAGTTTCTTGAGCAGATGGCGTAGTTTCTTTTGGTACTCCTCAGTGGGATCGGAGGATAGTGGCCTGTAGAATGTTGTGTTGGAGAGTTGCCTTGCAGCCTCCTGTTCATAATCCGACCTGTTCATGATGACTACAGCACCTCCTTTGTCAGCCTCTTTGATTATAATGTCAGAGTTGTTTCTGAGGCTGTGGATGGCGTTGCGTTCTGTATGGCTGAGGTTATGGGGCAAGCGATGCTGTTTGTTCACAATTTCAGCCTGTGCACGTCTGTGGAAGCACCCTATGTAGAAGTCCAGTCTGTCATTTCGACCATCAGGAGGAGTCCACGCAGACCTTTTGACCTTTCCACTCACCTACTTCTAATAACATTTTTTGGGGATGGGGAACAGGAACTACTTTTCCCCTCCTGCATGGGACTTGCACCCTCGTATGCAAAGGACCTGACCTTTCTTGGCCATAATATTGCTATTACAATACTAAATTCAAGAGCTAATAAGGCTTTGCACAAGTCCAGCTTTTCATCTCCTATTGAGATCTGTGTAGGCCACTAATGTGTCATACTAATCATTTTATTGTGGTTAAAATATCTGAATTCTGATTAATGAGGCACATATGTTGTGAGCTACAATATAATCTCTGAAGTTGAAATGGCAGGTGCCATAGAATGTTCTGGTGGTTACGTGCTGTTTCCATGGAAATGTAGAATGCAAGTTTCAGAAGCTATCTTGGAGAGACTTTATTAGTAGGCAGCGGGGAGCCTGCTTGTGGTCTAGGCAAAGGCTGCCATCAGAGTCTAAGACTTCTCTTAATACCTAGCCTAAAAGGACTCTCTCTGTCCCAGAGAGAGAATAGCAGATCAGAGTGCATGTCTGTCTATATCAGGGGTCGGCAACTTTTCAGAAGTGGTGTGCCGAGTCTTATTCACTCTAATTTAAGGTTTTGCGTGCCAGTAATACATTTTAACGTTTTTAGACTGTCTCTTTCCATAAGTTTATAATATATAACTAAACTATTGTTGTATGTAAAGTAAATAAGGTTTTTAAAATGTTTAAGAAGCTTCATTTAAAATTAAATTAAATTAAAATGCAGAACCCCCGGACCGGTGGCCAGGACCCGGGCAGTGTGAGTGCCACTGAAAATCAGCTCGCGTGCCATAGGTTGCCTACCCCTGGTCTATATGCTACCAAATGGTGACCTCTTCATACCAGGAGTGGGTAGGATAATCCAAAAGTTAAGATATGTAATAAGGAAATGGTTCCCTGAATTTATTTTGTTGTTGTTGTTGTCTTGTCTGTATGTTGATTTCTTAATATTTGTTTTTATTTTGTTCAAAACCTGTTAAACTTGCTTTTCTTTACAGTATCTTCAAATAGTTCAGTAACAAGGTTTATACTAAAAGTATTATCTTTTTGTTTTCTCCTAAACCATGGAGAGTTTGTTTTATTTTAAATGGGCTCTTCCCTCACTCTTCCTATCTGACTTTGTCTGAACTATTAGCCTTCAAAGCACACTACTTGTTTTACAAGTAGGGGTCCAGAGAGACAATTGTTAAGCCCAGAAATTGTGAATAGTTAAGGGGCAATTCAGTGGTATTGTCTTTCCCTGTAATAAAATGATCCACTGAATTGTAATTTATATCTGACTGATTGTGTAGAGATCCAGTGCTGTATATTTCTGCTAGAACTTATTCAATATTTCCTGTGATTATTCAGACATACCCAGGGTCTTTCAAATTCCAAGGTTGGACAGATACATATTAAAATGCCTTTAAATTTATTTTGTAAACCTTTTTTTATCTTAAATTAGCACCTTTATTGAAAGACATTACCAGTGGCTGCCTCTTTTACTTTAAAAAAACAAAAACAACCCCCCCCCCCTTTTTTTTCCCTTTTCTTGTTTTTAGTGTCACGTGCACATTCAGGGGCTTTGAATGGCAGCGATGTAATTTCAAGAGAGGACCATGAACTGGAAACTGAAAAGCTAGAATTAGAAATTCAGCAATGCAAAGAAATGATCAAAACTCAGCAACAACTATTACAGGTTGGGATCTTTTTTTTTTTTTTTTTTAACTGCTTTCTTCTCTTCCTCCCTTCTTCGGGCAGGAATTGACGCATCACTCTAATGATGCCTCCTTTTATTTGGGTGTTCCTGTTTTTGATAACGGTGGAGGCTGGAGCAGAGAGAGAGAGGATGTGACTCTTTCCTTGGCAAACAGTATTTTGTTGTGAAATTAGAATATATAGAAGGAGAAACTGCAGAAGGCAACAAAGTTTAGCAACCTATTCAGAAAGCTTATCTCATCTACTTTCCACAGCTTTCTGAATAGGGTGCTAAACTTCTTTGTTTGCCTTCTATAGTTTTTTCTTCCACACTTCCTAATTTCTTGTGCCAGTGGCCCATTTATGACCAAGCCTGATTGTCTTTCATGTGATAAATTTTTGCTGGCATCTAAATCTAAACTTGTAGAAACATATGATGATTTCTAAATAACATTTCTGACTTTTGTTCCTTATATCTGCAGCAGCAGCTTATGTCTCCATGTGATGATGATACCTCTGTGTTACTACAGGACTGTTATTTGTTGGAAGAAAGAGAGCGCCTCCAGGAAGAATGGAAACTATTTAGAGAACAAAAAAAGAACTTTGAGAGAGAGCGAAGAAGTTTTACGGAAGCTGCTATTAGATTAGGACTTGAGGTATTCAAAAGGGAGGGTATCTTTATAGGCCTTTGATCTTTAATACTGAAGATTAGCCAGTCTTGTAACCTCAGTAAGTGGAAAAACTTAGCCAATGTTGAAAGTATGCATTTGTGTGTATTGTTATCCTTTTGCTATTGTCTTTCTATTGGAAGATCTCTCTTTCCTCTTTCCTCCGCCATATCTTGTAAACCATGTGATGCAGGACTAATGACAATATGATGGATCACTCTGTTCGCCCATAGCAGAATACTACATTTTGTACACAGACATTGGCAAATACAGTTGCTTGACCTAGGATAACTAATTTTCTTTTTATAAGCTTAGGCCAAGATTTTCAAATATCTGCACATGTGCTTTTGAAAATAAGGTCACTTATTTAGGTATCTAGATAGAGACTTAGGAACCTAACTTTAGGCACTCTATTATTTATTTATTTATTTACATTTTGGCCTTAGACTTTATCTATAGGTACATACATAGCACTGATTCACATTGTATCAATATTTTTCAGTTCCAGTAAGACACTATAAAATTCTCCACATTTTCACTTTACTTAAAAAAATATTTTTAATAAGATTGTGAGAGTATATAGGATGTACTCTTAAACTGTATCACAGGCATATTGCTAAGTTTAACCAGATGTGTCTAAACCTATAGTCCAGATTGCAGCATCACTGCATGCATAAGTTTGCTACTGCTTCTCCTCTTATGCTTTAATACTGTATCTGTATTGTGATCTATGTAGATCTTTATGAAAAATTTGCAGCAGCCCCTGAGCCTAGAGTCGGGGTTTGTTGTGTCTCCTTTGAACATAGGAAGAAGAATTTTGAACAATGGGGAAATTTGCTCCCTTGCTCTTACATCCTGTCCTCTCTCTTCCTTGGTACCTCCTGTTTGTCTGATCTCTTCAGAGGTACAGGAACTGTCTCCTCCCCATCCTGCTGCCATCTGGATTTTTGAGGACTGCCTGACATTGACATCACTTCTCTCCTCCCTTGCCTACAGAGTCACATGAAAGGGAAACCCTCATTCTTTTCTCTCAGATTTGGGTGGGAGTAGTCAGGACTCCTTTCCAGCTCTTTTTTCTCTTCCCAGAAGGCACTTGGAGTTGCAAGATGATCAGTACCGTAGTATTGTAGTGGAGGGTAAATAGCGTTTACCCATTTCTCATTGGGGGTATGTGGAGTTGAGTTTAGGTTAGTTTACTAATTTATTTATTTTACCTTTACGCCACTGAGCCATAGTCATTTCTGGCAGCTGCATAGAAGGTGGGTTTAGCATCTGACTGGTAGTTTCCTGGCCAAAAGCCCTAAGGCAGTGATTCTCAAACTTTTGTACTGGTGACCCCTTTCACGTAGCAAGCCTCTGAGTGCGACCCTACTTATAAATTAAAAACACTTTTTTATAAATTTAACACCATTATAAATGCTGGAGGCAAAGCAGGGTTTAGGGTGGAAGCTGACAGCTCGCGACCCCCCACATAATAACTTCACAACCCCCAGAGGGGTCCTGACCCCCAGTTCGAGAACCCCTGCCCTAAGGTAAAGTGAGAGGCACTTGCAAGGACCTTCATCGCACATCCTTGTGAGCCAAACCATGGGGTTCAGTTTGCAAACACCCTTGCCATTTGATCCTTTCTGGGATCTCACAATTGTAGGTCTATGTTAAACTGCCCACTTTTTCAATATAAGAATGAACTTCACTTTATGATTTTACATGCAAAACAAATCAATCATTATAAACCTACCACTTTCTGTACAGAATATAAGTGGACATTTCTCTTTTCAGAGAAAGGCATTTGAAGAAGATAGAGGGGCTTGGCTGAAGCAACAGTTTTTGAGCATGACTTCTGATCACAAGAACTCTGAACATGTGAAAACTCAAAGTGCCTACTCAGGAAGCAAGTATTTAACTCACTAACTTTTGTACATTTCATAAAACTATCCTTATTACGTTTTATTTTGTCTCTCTCAGTTGGAAGATACATACACAAGGAAATGGAGACTTCCTAAGTATAAAGAGAATTCATGATGTGATATATAAAAAACATTAAAAATCTATGTGCAAGTCAGGGCTGCTAGGCTCTCCTGGTAGTTCACCTAAGAAGGGAATCCTGATAATCCAGTCATGGCTACATGATAAACTTCTCTTTGAGAAGGGACCTGTTGAATGTCAATTATATAACAGAACTCTTAGCATTAAATAGCATGTTTAATTAGAGAATCAGATGGGAGGCTGTGCAGCTCCCCTGGTCTTCCTATAGACCTCTCTCTACATGGAATTATTTTCGTTGGTATGAAACATTTATGTTTAGGGACAGAAATAAGATTATTTGGGTGCTGTCATTAAAAAAAGAATGTTTTATTGGTGTCAGACTTGTGTGCTATGGCATTTGTGATTTTTTTCATACTTGTGGATTTTTGTGTGTGTGAATGTTAAGTGCATTTTAAGAGAGAATGTAGCATTAAACAGCCCTCCCTGCCTGTAGCTTAGATTTGAGGGATGTAAGAATATAAAAATTAAAGAATTCCTTTGCCACTTAAAGGATCGCCATCTTGATATAATGCCATTTGGATACTTTTACATAACGGTTTTCACTAGAATGATTTTTAAAAACTATATATTTCTACTTTAGTTTTAAGGCTTTGTTAGGTTACACTCCAGAGTACTATAACCCTACAGGAAGTGCCATGTAATACTGTATAATTCTGCTTGCCCACCTTTTTGAAGCCTTTTCAAATCTAAAAATGAAAAGGAATTACAGGGCCTGATCCAACTCCCATTGTAGTTAATGCAGATCTTCTCATTCACTTAAATGAGGCACTAGAATAGAAAGTGCTAAGCAATGCTATCTGTTCAGTTTAATTTCTTTTGGACTTTGGGCTAGTTTATGAGCTTTCATGTTGACATAAGTGACTTTTGCATGGGTGTTGCCAGGTATCCTGGACTCTAAAGTAATCCTTGAATCAATTGAAATAAGGTTTGCTAAACAAGAAGTAAAAACCTAATCCAGAAAACACTCATATGAGTATCTTTAAGCACATGAATAGTCCCATTGACTTCAGTGTGACTATTTGTATTCCTATTTTTGTTGTTGTTTTCAAGTTAAATATTTACAAAAACAAAACATAGTACTGTGTGTGTGTGTGTGTGTGTGTGTGTGTGTACACCTATGCTGATTTCAATATCATTTTTAGTCCAATACATCCAATAATAATTAAGGCTAAGATTATATCATGGTGGTCACTGGGACGGATCCCCAGCCTCCTTCGGCAGCAGAGGGACCCCGGAGCTGCTCAGTGGGTGGGAGAGGGGCCCCCGCAGGTCCCCAGGCGCCACCGCTGGCAGGGGCAGCCCCTGCAGCTGCTCAGCTGCCGCGAGCAGCAGCCCCCCCACAGCCCCTGGAGCTGTTCAGCGGCCACAGGACCCCCACAGCTCCCAGCCGCTGGCAGCAGAGGAATCCCAGAGCTGCTCAGTAGCAGCTCCCCATCTGCTGCTGCTGGCAAGGGATCCCCCCACATCTCCTAGCCTCGCAGGGCAGCAGGGGGACCCCTCCCAGCCATTGGGGAATGGGGTCCCTGTAGCTCCCAGCTGCTGCAGGGGATGGGGGGGTGCAGCAGGGTGCTGGACCCTCCTCCCTCCCCGTTTTGCCAGGGATGTTTTTAGTGAAAGTCAGGGACAGGTCACGGCTTCCTTAATTTTTTCTTTATTGCCCATGACCTGTCTCTGACTTTTTTACTAAAATTATCCATGGCAAAATCGTAGCCTTAATAATAATGAATGTGCATATTTATTATTTTTTTATTATTGGGAGAAAATAAGAGTCATGGAAAAATTCCTCTCTAGATACTTTCATAACTACAGTGTTGTTTAATAACATACTTGTATGTCTTGCAGGTTCTGACCCAGACAATCAGTTAATGAACTTCAGGTCTCGGCAAAAGAAACCTCACTGCTTGCCTAGTGTACCTCCTTCAGAGGAACTTTGCCAGACAATTCAGCATATCCCACACAACAGGTATCTGAAATCATATCACCCATCTTTACTTTTATAGTGTATGTGAACTGCTCAGTTGGAGTAGTGATTAGAGAAAGGGACCATAGCTTGGGGAAGTTCTGAACTAGACATTGACAAGAGTTACGGTGGAATATATTATTTAGCATAATTAATATACAACTTTCGACCACTATCAAAACAATTGTTCTACTTATATTTGTAAAGGGGAATATTAGTTAAACTTTAACTTTCTCTTTCCAGCAATTCGAGTGTTGTATTGAATAAAACTACTGAAGACAGCAAGCCAAAGCAATGGAAGGGACTCAACAAAGCAGAAACTGAATAATGCATCAAGACCTCGGTCACAGAAGATTTCTAAAGTTCATGTTCTCTGTTATATAGATAAACTGCCTTAGACTTTCTAGGGTTGTCTGCTGTCTTTTGTTAAAGAAATGTGTCCATAAACTTTTCTTTCTAAGGTGAAACAGGGTGTTATGAGTTTGATCATCCTTTCAGTGAGCTAAGAGATGAAATGAGTTGCAGTGTGTGGGTGTGACTTTTTTATTTTTTAAACAATTTCTTTCCCCTTCTTTGTCTGCAACTTTTGAAAGATTTTTTTTTTTTTTGAATAAAAAGAAAAAGCTTTGGATATTCTAGTAACAGACACTCAGATTCTGTGAATAAAGGAATGTATGAGATTATTTTATTTTATTTTTTGGTTGTAAATGAAACACTGGAACCTTAGTGTTTCTTTTCATCGCAGACAAAGGTAGCACTTTTAGGAATTGTTTAATTATTGTAAATGTACATTTATATCAAGTGTAGCTAGCATTGAAACTTTTGTCTCAACTTGAATGTACAGTATACTGTAGATTTTTAACAAAGCAGGTTATATATTTATTAAGTCATGTGACTTGAAAGTACCTCTTTCATAGCTTTCCAATGATTAAAGTGCAAGATCTTTATATGTTTGTAAATAGACAGAATAAATGATTCTGCTAAGATGCCATGAAATGAAACATGCATCTATAATCATAGTATTTTACATGCCAATTTAAGCTGGTTTTATAGTGATATTCTGTTTACAGATGTATTAGGACTGTAATTGTTTCAGTCAAGAATCAAATTCTTTGAAACATAATTGAACAATAAATGTGCAAAGTATATTCTAAGAAATGTATTCGCATATGTTATGTGCATTCAATTTTTGCAGTCCAGCATGATCTTTTTGTATTAACCAGTTGTAAACAGTCATGGTCCTACATCAACAAATCTGGATGGTGTGTTTTTCTTTCTAACGGACTCGAGTTACTTTGGCCTTTATTTAAGGAAATCCATTTTGATCATAACTCCATGAAGTGGTCATACATAAGGGAGAGGTTTTAGCGAAAGGGTAGGTAGAGATAAAAATAAAAATTTGCAGTGGGGAAGGGAGGGTGGAAGAATAGAATGACAGAATTCTGAAACTGTGTAAGAGATAAAAGGGACGGGATTCAACTTGAAAGGGATTCAACTTGACCTTCCTCTTGTACCAACAGCAAAACATTTGGTGTCTTCTGTGATTGCTTTTCATTTCATGACGTCACTTCTCCATTTGAAGCTTCCACAGCTCTTTCATATTAAGGTACTTTACTGAGGCCTATGCCATAAATACTGCTACAGAATCCCAACTGTTATGATCACAGAAAAAAAGTTTTCTGAGTTAACTGATTTATTTTGAAGGGACAAACTGAGGCAGTCAAGGTCGCTATTGGGTAAAAATGTTTCCATTCCTTCCCGGTACATTTGTTCAGAGCAGGATAGCATTGTTAACATGTTAATGGCATTTAGCCTTCTATGCATAAATAGTTTACTAGTAGAATGTGTTGCTTCTAGCCCTGTGCTATACGTGCCTATGCCTAAAATCAGCATCTAATGAAACAGATCTATAGACATTTTGTGAAGGCATTGCTGCTTTACAGAGTTAAATTGCAGAGGCTTCCTTTTTTGTGCCAAGGAAGCCCTGGGGTCCCGAATAGCAATCCTTAATTCTCATTTGTCATCTCTCTTCTTTGGACATGTGTGATTTTGGCCTAGTGTAATTTTATTTGTTTTGGTTTTTTAAAGTGTGCCTCCTCTTTGCTCCAAGTGCAATTAATATATTCCAGCACCAAATTATCATTTATCTATGTCAAAACCCTTGCACCCCCAAACTAGTATGAATGTAACCCCTCTTTGGTCTCTGTCATGTGTAGATGTTCATGTACATGTGCCTGTCCAACCCCTTCAGAGAGAGCCTAAGAAAAGTGTGCCTCTATCAGACTAAGGGCAGGGAAATGAACTCCAGCATTAAGAGCCCTCAGTGCCACTGGCTCTGTCTCCTTCAAACCTGGGTGCAGTTGGTTCAGGTGACTCAGCTGATCTCAACTGCTGTGGTATCACATGGGAAGGGAGGGGAAGAAGAGGTCACTAAAGGAGTCAAGATGGAAACCACTGGAACTTTCCTGGTCAATCCAACACTTCCAGTTCAACCAGAAATGAATTGGAAGCCAGTGTAAACTCCAGAGCACAGGTATAATATCTTCTGCATGAAGCACTCTTAAGGATGCAGGCAGCCACGTGCATTGTGAATTTTGGTCTGCCTAGAGAAGGCTCAAGGCCTCTTAGCCATCCTTTTCCGGAGGTTAGTCATTCAGATTGTCTTAATGCCATAGGTTTTTCAAAATAATAACATCTTTAACAATATAGTTCTTGATTTTCTATTTCGTCCCAATTAATCAATGTGAGTTTGAGCCATTTCCTCTACTGAAATTGAATAATAGTACCCACATGCCACAGGGTTAAGATCAACAACCCTCATAAGTCAATGGGTGGAACTTGGCCTGGTCAATTTATGCTCTCAGGCATTCCATTAAATAAAGAACATATTCAAAGCTGTAAAAATCTCTCAAAAGGGAGGAAGGAATGTGCCAGGAGTTTAAAGTCATGTATAGAATTCTTATTCTGTATTCATATAATTGATTATTCAAGCTCTATGATAAGACTGGTGATTCCAGTATGCCACTAGGTGCTGCTGTTGTTTTAAATTAATTAAATGGTGTTCCGTATATGATGATACACTGGGAAGCTTAGTCAGTTTCCTGTTAAAGAACTTAGTTGAACTCTCATACTTGACACTTTCTCCTCATTACAGATTTTTTTGGGGTAATAAAATGATTTTGAAAGATTAAATAAGTGTTTCTTAGTCATCAAATTTCTTGTGCTTATTGAATAGTAGCAACTGGGGGATGTCTGTAATAATTTGCTGACAGTTCTGCAAACTACATGCATTTTAGTAGTCGGGAAAACCTCTGAGGAGTCACGCAAACTTGTAAATGTAATTTCAATGCCTCCATGAAAGCAGGTTGTGTTGCAAGCCTGTATGCAACTGAGGCACATGGTGGTGAACTGATAGGCCAATTTTTGAGTTCTGCCAACATGGACAGTATCCTGTAACTGTAGAGCTATAATCAGTCTTGAAGTATTTGGGCTAGTATATGTGTAATGGTCACAGATCTGCTATGTGTTAATGTACAAATACTGATCTGTAATAAGGGTATGAATATTGGAGGTGACCTGGTCAGTGAGGTAAAGTTGCTGTATATGGATGGTGGTTTATTAGAATTTCCTGTGTGCCTGTATGGAGATAACATGGGGGCTGTGGGAAGAGCAAACAGGAAAGCAACACAATAGATCTAGATAAGGACACCCCAGCTCATGCTTGAAAGACAATGGGGGTAAGCTCTTAGCTTCAAGGATCCTTTCTCTGGTTTCCAACAAGTTGCCAGCCTTGTTTTGCCAAAGCTAGGAGTCTGGAGATGAAGAGCGCATTAAACAGTTAGAAAGCCCTTCTCGGGGCAAGAAGGGTTAACTTGTCAAAAGCAGTCTAGGGAGACAGGCTGACAGAGAGAGAGACCCAGAGGAGAGACTCCGAAGAAGTTGGGCCTTCCCAGATCCAGGGATTGGTAAGCCTTAGAGGAAAGGTAGCTACAAGTACAGCCTGTTTTGTTCTAAATAACTTTGCTTTAAGGAACTGTCTGGTTGTTGTATTAACCACTGTCATTGTTCTCCGAGGCAACAGAACTGGAAGGTCTGAGCCTAGGTTAGGCCTGCTGAGGAAATTACTACCTCGCCAGTTACTACCAGGCGCCTACAATCCGGATCCTGGCCTGAGAGTAGGAGAAGCATGTGATTCCACTCCCAGAGTGAGGGGATGGATAGATTGAGGCCTGAAAACTGCGGAGGATAGGGGTGGAGTTCACCCATTAAGTGTAATAGTATGTACTTTAGAGCTGCATGCGGTATACGACGACTACTACTATTACTGGATGAAGTAATATTGCACATGTACAATATTAAGGTGGGCGCTTCTGAGTTTAATACAAATAGTGTGGTGAAATAAGATTGCCACAGAATCTTTACTCTGCAGCAAGTAACACTATGGATGCTAGGCTACCTTGTCAATCTTCTTGATAAAAATAATGCTGCTTTCTCCAAGTATGGGAGGCTGACCAGGTATAAGATTATTTGCCTGGATTTAGTTATTCATGGTTCTTGATCTTAGTCTGTTACGAGTTTAGCAGTGAAGGGTCATAAAATGGCTAACTAAAATATACCATGCTCAAAAAATTAAAAGCTGCACTAGGATTCAATACCTAGAAGCCCATCTACTTTACAAACATGGTGGAGTACAATGGGGTATATCCATTACACCATGATAGAAATAGGAATTTCATTATTGTATGCTTGACTTTTGTTAAGTCCTGGATTATGTTGAGGCCAACCAGTCCATTTAATGTAATGGAGGATTTCTGGTGATTTCAGTAGCAATTGGGTTTGGCCCAAAGTGAGGAAATAGATACTTTTAACTTTGAGGAAAGGTTTCTCCTTATCCACTGTCAATCTGGAAAGCAGCCAGAAGACATTAGCCCAAACTTTTAGCATTGCCCGTGTTCTTATTTTACTAGGTAGCCTCATTTGTTCCTGTACTTCATGAGTCACCAGAACTGTGTAAAAGACCAGAATTATCACTGTGGTCTGGGAAGTGAACCAACACCAGCCAGCAGGACATAAGGTTAGGTTTTCAAAGGTGTTTGCACACCTGACAATGCAGATGAGTGCCTAGTGTGATTTTTCAAAAGCATCTACACAAGTAAGGTGCCTGTCTCCCTGGGAGTTACAGAGGTGTTTTTGAAAATCCTACTAAGTGCCTATTGGCATCTTTAGGTGCCTACTTACCTTTAAAACTCTGGCCTATAGCCTTTCAAAGAAGCAGTTATTTTCTCCAAAGTAAACTACCAGCATCTTAGGGAGACATTAAAACTCATGCTCCAAGCTGACCTATTGCAACCTTAACAAACCCAACATCATTTGTAAACCACCTTCAGCCTAATTCACCATGGAACTGTTCTACCCACAGACCTGAAACTTGCAGTAATGGGAGAAAATCATATATCTGTTTATAAGACCAGAGATATTAAAAATCACCATCTGCCAGGGACTGCTTTAGCTGATGACCAGGATCCTCTCAACTATGCTAGCTAAAAATGTCCACAACATAAATCAAGTATTTGTTAAATTCAGCTGGGAAGGGGAAACCTTC